GATCTGGTTTGCTGCTCTCACGAAACCCTCTGCCCCTGGAGTTCTTTCGCCCAGGCCGGCCAGGCCCTGCCACTAGCCTGTAGCGTGTGTGATTGGCAGGAACTCTGCCTCCCCCTCTCCTGCTGCTCCTAGGTTTGTGATCATTTGGTCTCCCTAATTTGGCATCTGAATGTTCATTTTCCCCCTCCAAAGGGAGAGCAACCAGTGAGCATCACTAAAGCCGCCACTCGGCCCTGCTTTGAATGGGCCATATTCCTCCTATAACGCCCTGGCCAGCCAGGGGCACACTCGTTTTGCAGTCTGAACTCCTGGGGGAGCCCTTGCACACCCACTCTGGAAAAGGGGAGGGGTGCAATGAATGTGTTTCTCTGTGAATTCATGTCTTTGTTTTGTCATGTGCCTCCCCCCTCCGAAAGGGGGGAGGGGGAGAAAGACGGATTAGGAAACTCAGCTTTTATTTCTCTCCCCATTTTCTCTTCCACGTCCTTTGTTCTCTTCCCTCGTCCGTCTGATCGCACAGCGGCGCAGGGGACAGCTCCTTTCGCCTCTTTCCTAAGTCTCTACCTGGGTTTTCCCAAGAGCCAAACTCCCCTCTTCCTGCGCCAGCCTGCCCGTCCCTTCCCGGTCCTGGGATCGGAGGCTGCAAAAAGACACCGAGGCCTGGGATGCAAAGTGCAATTTCGCCGCCTGCCGGGCAGTCTGAGGCACTGCAGGATCTGTGGTCGTTCTCCTGGGAGGCGGGCCAGTGTATTTGTGCTGGATTCAAACTCACCCGTGCCTCAGCCTGGCTTTTAAAAGCTAAACATGTGGCACAGGCCCCCAGTGAGTAGAAGCCTGCAGATCGGTGGATCTCCGCGGACGATGCGGGTAGCTGTGGCTCATGTTTGCGGATGCAGATACAAAGTTTGTATCTAGAACCCTGCAGACTTGCAGCTGTCTGCTCTCTCTCCGTGGGTGTCAGTGCCGATACCCACACCTCCTTTTTGCAGATACAAATTCTGTATCCGCGCAAGGCGCTACAAGTGAGGGATGCATCCCACCAGAAAGCAACAGAGGAGGGGTCCTACGGGGGTAGGATTTTGTTCTCCCTCCCACCGTAAATCGGCATACTCCCAGGTTCCAGGTTGGTATTGAACAAGCGGGGAGATGGGAATAGAAAAGACTCCAGATGAAGATGGCAACCTGGGCGTGGCGTGGGAGTGAGGAGGTGTCTGCGTTATGATCTAGAGGAGGGGCCCTCAACCATTTTCCTTCCGAGCCCTCTACTCCACAACACACTAAAAATCCCATGGCTCCCCCACGCCTCAACAACTGTTCTTCTGCGTATCCAGTGGCATTAGGGCCCTTCATGGGGAGACTCAGGTTTTGACTTTCTGCCCTGGGCCCCAGTGAATTTAAGGCTGGCCACGCTCTGCTTGTGGCCCCTGATTAAGAAGCACTGGTATACGGCTACCACCATGGAGAAGAGATGACGGAGAGCAGCGGACAGAGGCATAAGGAGAACCTCCGGCTGGAAGTTGGAGCGAGCCAGCCTTGGACTAGAGATAAAGCGGGTCCCATTAACGGTGTCATTGACCATTTGGAACAACTTGTCTCGGAACACGGTGGGTTTTCCGTGTTTAAATGGAGCCTGGCTCTCTTTCTGAACAACGCGGGGGCCTGGCAGAATGCAATTTTTCCTTTTGATAACTTCGACGGCTAATACCAATGTTTGTTTTTAAGCATTTTAAAAAATCCGATCTATTTACATTTTCACAGCTGGGAGAAATTACAGGGTTTAAGCATTTTTCTGGTCAATTTAAATGTTCACAGTCGCAGGTAATTACCAAAGGCGGGGGTCAAACAAGGTGGGGGGAGACAGTGCAATTCGGAAAGTTAAAGCTTTGTCACCATTAAACCAGCATCGAAATATACAAAGTGAATACCCTTACATCCCGAGTAAGTTCTCAGCAGAGTTTTTCTTACTTTGCCTGCTGTACATTGCAATCCATTAGCATCTTCAGTCAGTGTGGATACAGTGAGGGACGCAGCCCGAGTGCCTCCTGGCCAGCAATGTGCCATAGGTCGAAGGGCTGCTAGGATCTTGATGCCGGAATTCCAGGGCCTGTGATGCTAACGGGTCGCACGGTTCCCATACAAATAGGCCTGGTTGGACCGGAAACACTTTCCTTTGTATTCCAGCTTCTACCACCGTCCGACTTTCTCTCGGGACAGCGGCCGTTCAGTTTTCCAGGCTCGCAGGCCTGTGTGTGCGGCCGGCGGCAGCATCGACAGCTGCCCCCTCTCCCCCCCCCCCCCGCATATCACATCTTTTATTACTACAGCAGGGTAGTAACAAACCCCAGCCAGGCCAAGTGGCAACCCTGCAGGTACCTGTCCCCACCTAGAGATGCCGAAGGGCCTCACAGGCCTAAGACACAAGTCTCTTAACGTGTGATGAAAGGGACCCCCCCTCGGAACAATGGACTGGTCAGGCCGAGAAAGGGACCAGGTGGACCCAGTTCCAAAGGGGGGGGTGCGGCCCAGGCCCGCAGTGCTGAGAGGGGGTGGGCAGTGGAGGGCGGGCGGCGTAGGCCTGCGTGCAGAGACCGGGGCAGGCGGTGGGCATGGGCACACATGCACTGAGTGGCCCAGTCCCCAGCCCTGGCAGAGGCTAAAAGTGCCAAGCGCCCGGGGCTGAGACAGGAGGAAGAAATGAGCCCGGGCAAACTCGGTGCCTGGCGCCATGAGCGTGGCTGGGGGGAGGGATGAGACACCGCGCCCGAGATGGACAGAGAAGTCCAAGCTTCTTGGAACTCGTGTCTTTGCCACGAAGTGTTCTCCGTCAGGGACAATCCCTCGCGGGTCGCTCCGCTGAGCCGCACCCTCTCCCTGGACCTAGGTGCGGTGTGGGGGTTGGGTCGTCTGCCTCCGGCAGGGGCTGTGGGTGGAGAAATGCCTCTGGGCGGAAGGCAGGAGCCCTGGGGCCATAGGCAGGGCTGGCGTGTGCCACCCACCACAGGTGAAAATAAAACTGGGAAGGCCCTTCCTCACCTGGGCCAGAGCGGAAAGGCCAAGCAGCAGGGCGTGGGGCAGGAAAGCCACGTGCCAGGCAGGGCCCTGGGATGCAGCACAGAAGGGCCCCGGT